TGAAAGTTGCTCGCTGGAATTGGTACAAAGCTCGAAAACATGAAGGAAAACTGAAGAATCTGCAGGACATGGAGGATTTTTCTGAAGAACAGTGCTCAGTTTAACTGTTCAGAACAAACAAGGGACTCATGAACAACCATCAACAAAAAAAACCAAAAACAGTCGTAGATCATCCAAGTAACCACACACAGTATTAAGAACCAAGGGTTCCCAAACTTTTGAAGGGGGTTATTTTAATAATTTCAGCAATTTTTTTGTCTATTTTTTTTGGACTATATGTAAACATATTTTATGTAAAATATCTTAGAACAGTACTAAATAAAAAATAACGCATTTTGTATGACTATGACAACTTGCTAACCAAGACTTGTCATAGCACTTGCATATTATTGCTCTTTTGTTGGTTTTAATTGCTTCTATTGTCATCATTTGTAAGTCACTTTGGATAAAAGTGTCTGCTAAATGACTAAATGTAAATGTAAATGTTAACGCGCAGTCATAGTTAATGAGTTCTGACGTAGCCAATAAATTATTGCATGGTCAAATGAACCATATTCTACATAAAGCGGCAGCTCTCCGGCAGTAGGCTAAACCAGCCACCCCGTCCCCTCCCCCGGCGGTAATGGTGTGGACCAAGCGCAAAACAAAAAAATGGAAAATCAGAATGAGTCATGTTTTATGTTTGTTCAAAAATCTTATTCAGATGCAGCAACCTAAACTTGTAGAATCAAAAATTAAACAGAGACAGTTATCCGTTTGTGAAGTATTTTGAGAGAGAGAAAAAAAACGGAAAATGAAGTTTGAAGCTAATTTTTACCTGGTTAATTTTGATGGTGCAAATTGAACAAAGAACTGTAAACCATTACACGGACCCTCTAAGCAGAGAATCTCTTAGTTAAACAATTAAAATGCACAATATTTATAGATAAAACAAGAAGCTCTTTGTCAATGATTCACTTGTTATTTTTCTTTCATTCTTATCTCTTGTATCTTACCATCTGCTTGACCCTTTCCTGTTTAATCAGCACTATCAGCACTCCTGACAGCAGTCTTAAATTCATTCTACACATAGGGCTACACAGTTCCTCATTTCCCCTTAATTCTTCTTGAACACCATTTTTCTTTCTGCTGAATCAACGTAAGAATTAGAGTAGCAGAGTTGAGCTCAAACCCTAATAAAATACAACTGCCTGTAATTTTTTTTTTTTACGTCTTTAGGATGGTGGACCTCGAAAGACCAGGGGCCTCATGTATAAAACTTTACGTAGATTTCATCCTAAATGTGTGCGTACTCACAAAAGCTAGATTTTGCGTACGCACAAAAGTTTTCAGATTTATAAAGCCATGCGTATGCCAGAACCTGCGCAAAATTCCGTTTGTAATACCCAGTCAGCGGAAGATTGTGCATACATGAATCTCCACCCCGTCTCCTCCCCGAAATAGCCATATTAGCTCCATAGCTTACAACGCCTAGTTTTAATATGCATAATGTCATCTGCATATCATTTCCATGCATATTTTCATCCACGTGACACCATGTTTAACGTAGTTAAGGGTAGCCTACAACATGTTAGGAAAATATGAGATACAGACTATAAATGCGTTTTGAGACATCACTATTCTAATTTATGCAATTTGCCCAAAAGGTAAACATATATCTTTTTAAATATGGTGTTTGTCACAATATTGGGAAGAGCACGAAAGGGGTTATCATTAGGCTACTGTCTGTGCGCGACACCTGTGAACAGTTCTACTGTCATCGGGCCTATTCAAACCAGCCAATCGACTGTTTGATCAACGAGTGCATCCTTATGTCTGTCGTTACCATCTGTGTTCCAAAGCCATCAGACGAATCAAGTTCACATCAATGATCATTATTCGTGCAAAAGTATTTTCTCAGAACATGAGTTTTGCTATTTAGAACACAATTTAAAGCGGAATTGTCATACGCTAAGAAATCTTCACTGTGATTAAAACATAAAATCACATACCACAGGAAAATTGTTCGAAAGCAGCACATCCACTGCAAATATTTCTGTTTAAATTCATATACAAATGTTGTAATTTCTGGATAATAATTTCATGAAATTTCAGTGTTTAACTTCATTATTCAGAGTGTCATATTTAATCTAAATGTGTATGTCAAATGTAAAACAGACTTTAAAATCATTCTGTTGGCTTCTTTATTTCGCTCACTCCAGTAAAAGAGAGCGTACGCATGGTCTAGAGTGTCCGTATGGTGCGCACATATTTATGCCTAGTTTATTTTTTATAAATCCTGATATGTGCGTGGAAAATTGCGTACGCACATTTCCATGCCCATTTTGTGCGTACGCAACATTTATACATCAGGCCCCAGAGCTGCACACCCCTGCTCTACTGCAATGGTTTCTGTCCCTTAACCTCATGAAATGGCAAAGGGCCTTTCCCAATACCCATTACATTGTTGGGAGCGGATTATGGTATTATGGTTTTGGCCAGAATGAATGAATGAATGAATTTAATGCTCTAATGTTGTTATCTTTCACTTGTAAGTCGCTTTGGATAAAAGTGTCTGCTAAATGACTAAATGTAAATGTAATCTTGCATAGTTCAAAGCATTTCTCATAGGAATTTCACATTTTAATTAAATCACATGAGAACCTTATTGATCTCTCTCTCTCTCAAAAAAAAGTCTAATCAGTCTTCTTCTCAATCATTTATTAAATCAAGTGTAAAATACATTTGATAAACGTGGAGATATATGTATACATTGTATATGATTTAATAAAAAGTCTCAATATATTATGGACAGTTCAAATTGTAAACTTAAGAATTACAATTTTACAAGGATAAAAGTATAAAGGATGTAATTTTATAAAATATACATAGTGTAATTTTTAAGCAAGTGAAAGAATAACTTATATTTTAATAATAATAATAATGGTAATACTACAAAACAACAGGCATTTACATGTTTTACTTCTTTGTTTACAGTGGTGAACACCAAAATGATTAGAGTACACAATAATGTAAAACTATTTATTTTGTGTTTCTCTTCCCATGATGGCTTTTTTAGTGTTTCTCTCTGGATGTAAAAGGATGATGTAGCACTTAGGGGCAAATATGGCCACCAGTAATCCAAAACTGGAAGCTAGGATTGCAAATATCTCCACAGCCACTGCATATTTCCCTGGTGAGCTTACATATGCTGGAACAAATGAAATCCACACAGCACAGAAGATCAACATGCTAAAAGTGATAAACTTTGCTTCATTAAAATTATCTGGTAGATTTCTCGCCAGGAAGGCTAACAGGAAGCTTACTGCTGCCAACAGTCCAATGTATCCCAGCAGCATAGAAAAACCAGCCACTGAGCCTATAGCACATTCATATACTATTTTAGAGCGAGTATACTGGTTGTTTTTCTGTGGTGTTGGAGAGGCAGTTGATAGCCAGACTGCACATATCACAACCTGGAGGGCTGTTAGGACCAGAACTGTGCATCTTTGTTGAGCTACTCCAAACCATTTCATCGCACCTTTGCCTTCTGGCCGAGATGACTTGAATACAGCTATTACCACCATGGTCTTAACAAGGATGCTGGAGATGCACAGGACAAAGCTTATACCAAACAGAGCATGTCTTAACTGACATGTCCACAACTGTGGCCGGCCAATGAACAGCAGCACACACAGGAAACACAGTTTAAGTGACAACAGCAGCAGAAAGCTAAGCTCTGAATTGTTGGCTCGTACTATGGGAGTGTTACGGTGATGAGCAAAGATGGCCATTACAAGAGTGCAGATGCAGGTGCCAAGCAGAGATGCAGTAGTCAGAGAGATGCCTAGAGGATCCTCATAGGAAAGAAACTCTACTTCTTTGGGAACACACTGGTCCTTATCTGGATTGGACCAGAACTCATCTGGACATGCAGTACACTCAATTGCATCTGTAAGTAAGAAAGAAAAAAAAAATGTTATGAAGAAAGTAAAAAGTAGAAAGTTATTAAGAAATTACTTTCAAGTTTTATTCAGTTTCAAATATATTTTGCCAACAATAATCTCCTCACCTGTTGTATTAGAAATCTCTCCATCTCTGCATGGCAGGCAGTCAAAACAGCAGACAGGAAGACCCTTCCTCATGGCTTGTCTGGTGCCTGGGGGGCAGCTCTCACTGCACACAGACTGTGGGGGCTGTCAGCGGACAACATATGTTGTTATTTATTAGCACACAGGGATATAGTGTATGCTTAATATAGTGTAGTAGTTTCATTCTTATGATATATAAAAATGAACGTAACATGCTTTTAATTATATATATATATATATATATATATAATTTAATAAATTACTGAACATGATTACTTTTTTAAACTGAAAGTTCCAGTATAACGCATCCTCGTTCAGTGAAAGCACCTTCCCATTCCCTGCCCCTTCATTCACTACACCAACTGTGTAGACCCGTATTGATCCGTCAGAGTTTGGTTGCCAGTTCAGTACATCATAAATAGCCAGAGCATCTCCATTCTTATCAAATGACACATGATCCCCAAAGCCTGTGGTGAAGTTCACTTTCTGTAGGTAGTGAACCAGCTGTACAGTTTTTAGACAAAACACATTTAAAAGTCAAACATGACAAATATGCATTCATACATTGTCTTTCATACATGACTGCAATATTTTACTTTTAATTTTTTAAAATTCTGTTATAAAAATTTGTGAATGACTGTTTCTTAAAAATGTAATTGTTATGCTTTCAAATGTTATCACATATAAAGGTATCTTCTTTGATTACTAAAATATCAATAATATAATTGGGACAATATCAATTTAATTAAGATATCTGATATATGAATCTATGTAGAGCACATATTTCCACATTTAGCTCTTCTATATGCCTGGATAGAATCTGCACTATACCTGTGGGCCTTACCTGCCAGGGTTTTAGGTTGGTTATGGCGGCACATCTGTTGCCACTAAATGGTCCACTACCCTCCTCACACTGCATTAGGTCATGAAGTGCATGTGCCAGGGCATAAACTGCCTTATAGACATTATAAGCTGCTCTCAGCCCTGAAACATCAGTGTATGGTGTGTTTGTGATGATCAGATCCTCCTGTCCTGTACACACCTTTTTCACTTGCTCTCCATCTATCGCCATACCCCCAGTTTTATAACTGCACCTGAACATGTTTTCCCAGAAGATCTTCAACATATTATTTCTTGGATCATTGCTGGGACAAAGACGTAGCAAAAACTCTTGAAGTCCTTGGATCTCTCCACGTCTGATGGCAATGCCCAGTGTGCCCCCCAAAAACGGCAGGAAACGTGAAGTGTGAAACACAGGTGAGGTAGCCCATGCTTCACTTGCAATCCACTGTCTGCCTGTCAGGTTTTGCAATACCACCTCATCCATCAAAGCCATCAGATAGGATGAAGTAGAAAAAACAACCACCACTCTAGCTGTAGAGGCCTGAATCACTCCTATTATACGCCGAATGTCTTTGTGGTTGTTATCATGGGGCAGGATTTCAGAAAAAGCAACACAACCTCCAAACAGCTGCATTTCCTGCTTAAAGGAAACAGAAGCATAGATGCCGTAGTCGTCATCACTGTAGAGGAGTCCAACCCATGTCCATCCAAAATGCCTTAAGATCTGAACCATAGCCCGCACCTGGAAGGCATCACTGGGGATTGTTCTAAAGAAAGAGGGGTACTTTTTCCTGTCACTCAAACAGGAGCAGGTTGCATAGTGACTAACCTAATTAGGAAAGATGTAGAGAGAGAAGGCATGAGACAGAGAAATGGAATTATGATCTACATGCTCGTGGAGATTAGAAAAAAAAGTGCTGGAAGAAATTGATTCAGGATATACATAACTAAAAAGAACATAAATTAAATTGAACAGTACAAAAAATATGCATATAGGGCATTTTTACTTTTTTCATCCCATCTTACTATAGGTACTCGAAACAGCCCCAGAACACTGGAAATTGCAATGGATGGAGTTGAACCTGGATCACCCACAATCCCAATCACTGGAGGAGGGCCAGTACAGTTGAGGTTGGAAAATCTCTCTTCTGTTCCACTAACTAGGGATATGGCAGCACGGAATGCCATTCCTAGCATCACACAGTTGTCATAAAGATGGTAACCAAGAGTGACATTAGGCAGCAGATTTGGATTCTTATTGATCTCATCTATAGCAAAAACCATGGTCTGTGCCTGCTGGAAGCTTTCCATATCAAATCTAATGAAAAAAAAAGTTTTTATTAAACAAAGTTTATAACATGATACAGAAAAGATAATACATACAAAATAAGCATTAATATATTCCAAATATGAATGAGATCATTCAGCAATCACGGAATCCTCCTATGGTACACAATTGTTTAAATATAAAGAGGTTTCAATATAGATTTTTTTTTTTTTGGTCAAGATAGCATCACATTGCATATCATTCAACAAAAATGGTCATATTTCTCTGTCATTTGTTATTTATTGTTATTTTTTTTTATCTATGTCTCTATCATCTTTTATAGTTGAGAAGGCATTCTGGCTCCAGACTCACTTTTCACAGTATGGTGGTTCTGGCTCAGTTCTGAAGATCAGCTCTGGGAACACAGTGAAAAAATGAACCTCAAACAGGCCTCCAAGTATAACATCTCCATCCTGGTACATTCCATTTAACTTGAAGCGTCCCTGGAGCTGACAAGTACCTGATCTGTGGATTGAAGCTGCAGAGATGCATTTAAAAGACAGATACAGGCAGATGTTTACAGTGATCCACATCTCTCTCTTTCTGACCCACTCACCCATTCTGCCTGCTAATTTATGATGACAGCTGTGTGGGGTGTTGCTTTAAAGAGCAGGAGGTGCTAAGTGGGCATCTCTGGAAATCATGATGTCACCTTCCCATTGTTTTATCATTTCTTGTTCTAATCTCTATTAAGACATGGTAAAATTATTTAGGTGTTTTCACTGTGGGTTGTTAGATGAAAAACAAAACAAAACAAACCAAAACAAGTTTATAATAGACATTTACAGTACATTTCAATGCTTAATTTGAGATGCTGAGCTACAAAACTTGGAACTAAAAAAAAAATATTATTATTTTTTTTATCGCTAAAGGATAGTTAGACATTTAGATGAACAGACTACAGGACTCAAACAAACAAGTCATTATATCTATGTCAGTCCTGCTTTTGACTTTTGCTGAACAATAAAAAAAAAAACTGTGGAGGTACTATGGTAAAGTGATAATATCAGGTAATACAATATAGAAAGAATTATATATATATATATATATATATATGAAGAGTTTGGTTCCAAAACGTTATAAATCCATTTTGATTAATTTGAGTAAAAATGTGTTTTCTTTACCAAGAAAGTGGCAAGATGAAAA